GTGATCCAGGCAGGAAGTGACATAGCAAGGAGACTCATATTTAAGCAAGGAGAAACAGGAAGTGTCCCTTTTCCCCTTTGCCTCCTCCAGCAGCGGGATGTTAGCCACCGGCAAGAGAGGGCACCAACAAAAGGCATCCTCTATAAGATAAGTCTTATAAAATACAAGACTGAGCTAACAGATGAGAAATCCTAGTCATTGGCCAAGCAGCATTTGTACCTAATACAAGTTTCTAATACCTAATTCATTTGGGCCTAACTCAGGCAGGCAGCTGGTGTAAAGCGCACATGTGGCAGTGGGGCTCAAAGGCTTTTGGCGGAAAGATTTATCGTAACAAGGATACAAATGGATGGGACAACAGGGAGATTGCTGGGCTCAGCACCCAGTTACCATTTCTAGTCAGGCCCAATAGGGCACCCAGGTTGGCTCATACATGCCAGCAATAACGCTGAAGGGAAAACATGTTTCTTCACTGTGAGGGGCACATCTGAAACAGCCCAAGACATTCCTACAAGTTTGCCAAGGGGCATGAGCCCCAGGAGACTAGCTCTGGCGAGCTGGAATAGTCTGGAGGTGGGTTAAATGCTGTGTGACATGCAATGGTCCTGGGTGCTGGCTGGAAGGGAATTCCCTTTCAACTTCAGCAGCTGCCAATGCAAATGACAAGGGCCCTCGGCATCACAGTTTCACAATGAGTATCAAGAATCCTAAAATTGGCCACACCCTTAGGCCCACTCATGAATCAAAGGGAAATTACCCTAATGAAGGCACTTCTTTATTTTAAAAAGTTGGCTAATAACTTCACTGTTTGGGGATGAAACAGACTACAACCTAGCTAAATGCCCACCAGCAGGGAGACTTCTAAATAGTGCAGTTACCAGCCACACAGGTGACAGTTATTTCACAATTTCAATATGCCAGACACTGCTGAAAGCTTCATGCCAGACATCCATTCTGTCCTAGCTGTGAAGTGACACATCTGAGGCTTGGTGGCACCAGGTGATTCATCCTAACTTTCTCAGTTACTAGCAGGTCTGCCTCTGTGTGTGTATGCACATATATGTGTGCACATGTGTGTATTTGTTTTTGAGGGAAAGTGCACATCTACTTTAAGTATCACACCTATTTTAAACAAACACATAGCTATGTGAATGACATAGGGAATCTGTCACTTCCGTGGGAAGAACCAGAGGACGTACAATTGTGTCTAGTCTGAGTGAATGCTCTTAAAATCTGTAAGATCAGCAAAAGGAAACATCTTGATGAGTCAACAGTGTGTGTGTACTGGTGGGTTGTACAGGGCATCAGTGCATGTTCAGTGCTCTGGTCAACTTTCAGCCAAGGGGTACCACCAATACACATTCAGGAGGAAGTCATGGGCTCTTCCAAAGAGATGAGCTGTGCTACCTCATTGTGACCCCCCAAACCTGTCACATTTCCTAAAGTAGAGAACACAGTCACCTGGCAATTGGCTTCAGAATGTCAGGCCACCTCTCACATTGCATGGTCATTACTCTGGAAGTGGACTGACAATTTTGAAATAAAACCACAAACCAAGGGAGATCTCACAAGTGGTGCTCACACTTCCTGTAAATGCTCAGGTCAGCAGGGCCATGATTCATGAGGGCCTGACCTGCAGCCAAGACCTGCTGTCATTCCTGTCTTCACCGTGTTCAGGCCACACATGTCAGGCCTCGTGGTGCTCTCACTGAGTTGATTTGTAATTGGAATACCTGCTATATCTTCACCTGTCATATCTCACAGTAAAGTCCACCTTTCTGTCTCGTCCTAAAAAATATCAGTCTCCAAACACATCAGGCCACAGGGCAGCAAACAATGTGAGAGCAGTGTCGTGGCTGTCCCCTTGGAGGACACCACACGGGTCCCAACAGCCCCGTCTGTTCCTGCTGCTTCCAGATACTGGTGCCGCCCCATTTTCCTGGGCTGTAGTTTTTCAGCACACTGTGAGGTATGTCCTGAGTTCCTGTTTCAATCAGAAGAGGAAAACTTGACAACACAGGAGAGGGCGCACTCCCTAGGACCTGTCCAATGTTGCCTCCTTGGTCTCAACTGCCTGAAATTTCTCTTTCTGGCCTAGACAGTTCGTAAGAAGCAAGTTATTGAAAACCACATCCTTCCTCCTTTTCTAGAGAGAGTCTATCTGGTGATGCTCTGCCTCCCACAGCTATTCTTCAGAGTCCCTCTGACCTTTGTGGTCGACTGAGGCCTCGTCCCAAGCAGCCATGATGAGAGGTGAGAGGAGGCCTGACTCAGCAGACTCGGGCCCCTTTCAGGACCCAGGAACTGGGAACTGGACCCATCTTGCCTGAAATCTGAAGCTTTATGCTTGAAGATTATGTTCAAAGTCAGGGATGGCCAGGAGTTACAAAGTCACTACAACCTTAGCTTCTGTAAGCCAGAAGTGCACCCATGGGCTCAGAGTGAGACCTGGGCGATTATCTCTGATGGACCTCCAGTAGGGCAGAGACCCCAGGCTCTGAGACCTGTGGGCTTCAGCTTCCTCTTTACAGGTGCCCAGACACCAGGGTGTTGTGAAGAGGAGACAAGCAGGAGTCCAGCACTGAGTCTAATGTATTACAGGGCTCCGCGTTATGTGGCCCCATGGCTGTGACCCATCTGAGCCCAACTCAGTGGATTTGTGAGCATTGCTGAGGTGGTCCCTGTAATCTAGCCTGGAACCTCCTCCTTCATTCAGGCAAGCTCTCTTTGTCTCTGCTATCATCTAAGACCTGGATGTAGGCTCTGAGGACTAGAGCTTTGCCATCCTTCCAGACACTTACAGAGGCCTCTTTGGGTTCCCAGAGGACTTGTCTCCTACATTAGCAGGACAGACAGACACACATTCCTCTTCTGTCACTGCCTCAAGAGCTTTTAAAACAATGGTTTGCCTGGCACCACAGATGAACTGCCACACGAGGCTAGAGCCAGGTGCTTACACAGGCCTGGGGTCAGGGAAGCCCAGAGCCAGGTGCTCACACAGGTGTGGGGTCAGGGAGGCCCACAGCCAGCTGCTCACACAGGTGTGGGTTCAGGGATGTCCAGAGCCAGGTGCTCACACAGGTGTGAGGTCAGGGAAGCCCAGAGCCAGGTGCTCACACAGGTGTGAGGTCAGGGAAGCCCAGAGCCAGGTGCTCACACAGGTGTGGGGTCAGGGATATCCAGAGCCAGGTGCTCACACAGGTGTGGGGTCAGGGATGTCCAGAGCCAGCTGCTCACACAGGTGTGGGGTCAGGGAGGCCCACAGCCAGCTGCTCATATAGTCATGGTCAGGGAAGACCAGCCCTCCTGTAATGCCTCCCCTGGGGTTGGGAACCCTTGGTCTCTGTGTTCCCACTGGTCAAAGTGATTACTTAAAGGTAGCATACTAGAAAGATCTGAACTTCCTAGATGGGTAGAGCCAAAGGGTCCTGACTCTGGTAGACCATATCATAGGCTCTCACACTCCAGGTGAAGACAGCCTAGGTGGTCCTCTCCAATATTTTTAACTGGTGTATGGTCCTGTCCTTCAAGCCCTCCTTATACCCTTCTCTCCTCTGCTCTAAGACCTCCCAGATCTAGCCTGGCTGAGAGCCTATAGTCTCCCCATAATCCATCAATTTCTATCTAGCTCTTAGATGGACGCATCTGAAGATGAGGCAGACGGAGTTTTGTTTCAGGGTCCTCAGCATAGAGCCCTGAGCACGTTATGCGTCAGGCACACAGATGGTACTCGCGTCTACCTTACACTCCATAGCTCATTACCCAGCCCTGAGGCCCTTTGGGGTCCATTCACTTCCCTGGCTGACTCCTACTTTCCTCCTCTCTAGACACTTGCAGCCAGGCCAGGCCTCCTCACCCCCCATGGCTCAGGCTTTATCCCTGCACTCTCCACAGGGCAGATGTTGGTAAGAGAAGTTAAGACAGGCTGGCATCAAATCCCATCAAGAAACCTTGCTTACTTCTGGGCCTGATGTCTCAGACCTGTAATCCCAGCTGCTTAGGAGGCTGAGGCAGAAAAATTACAAGTTCCAGGCCTTGGATAACATAGTGAGATCTTCTCTCAAAAATAAGTAGATAAATAAACCAGGCTGGGGATGTGTGTCTTCATTGAATATCTCCCACCAGCTGGACCCAGGGAGGAGAGTCTATCCCATTTCAGACTAGAGAGCTTTTCTGAAGCAAACAGGACAGAGTGAATGGCCAGCTCAGGGCAAGATGCCTGAGATGTCACCCCCATACCCTTGCTTTCAACTCTGGGATGGGACTGGATAGGCCTGCTCCATACCTCCCCGGTGGCTCTGTCATGGTTCTGCATCTCCTCTATCCTGATGCTGACTTTGTGTATTGGAGAGAGACACACATCCTCAGGGCAGCTGGGCGGCAGGCCCTCCCTGTGCCCAGTGGTGAGCATCAGCCCCACTCTCGGAGGGCTTGGGACCTGAACTAGACACTACCTGGACAGGGAGCTATAGACCTGGGCCAGGATGCTCCTGAGTAAGCTTGTGAGTCTCCCATTGTTTCACACAGCTGAACCCCAGCTTCAGGGAGCACAGCAGTCACACAGCAACCATTCCGAAGGCTACCCGCAAAAAGGGGCTTATCATATACATAGCACGACAGGAAAGACCAGGGATCCAGCCCCTCTGTCCTACAGAAGTGGAAACTGAGCAGGGAGAGGGCAACATCTCATCTGGGAGGATGGTAAAAATCAGTGAAAGAACCAAGAACAAACCTCCCAGGCACTGAAGTACGCCTCCTCCAGCACCTAACTCCACCAAAGCTGACCCTGTGGCTGCCCCTCCTTTCCTTCCTCCTCGGTCAAAGCCACTTTCAAGAGCAGCATGGAAAACTCCCAAGAAGAGAAAACAAGAGATGTCACTTGTAGTGAAGAGGGGGAGGGGGTGGCCTTGCTCACTAACAAGCAATGGCACCCCAGATCCAGCCAAGTGAGAAAAGGTCACAGGTCCTCAGCATTAGATTTCCCTTCACGGGTCTCTTACCTTCCCGAAATGGCTGTGTTTGCATCTGTAGTCGGATCTTGATGAGGTCCACGGGCCCGCCCAGCCCAACGGAGACCATACCAGCCACCATGCTAGCCAGGAGTAGATCAGACAGACTTCGGCTAGGGCCAGCCTCTGGGTCCCCACAGCGGTGCCGGCTGAGGAACCGTTCGGTGTTACTGAAGACCCCAAACACCACTGAGTTGTAGACAGCAATGCTGGCCAGGGGGAAGGACATGCCCTTGAAGAAGCCGAACACCTGTGGCAAGGGGACCCAGTGGGAGGAAGTGTGAGGGCAAACCACTCCCCCGGGGTCTCCATCTGGGACTCCCCTGAAGCTCTGGGCCTCCCTCCTGGAAGCATAAGGTAATGCATGCTGGAGACAACCAGAATCAATAATCCAGTGTATCAGAGAAGATCCCCAAGAGGGTCTAGATGACACGGAAAAGACAGAGGAAGAAGGCCACATGCAGCCCAGGCAGTCATTACAAACCTAAAGATGAGCCTTCTACGCATTGCAGTCTTGGCATCATATATGATGCTAAGATGGTGTGTGTGTGTGTGTGTGTGTCCCAAACAGCAGTGTCTAGAGCTGGAAATAAGTCAGGCTATGGCTGTGGAACACCAGCCACTCAAGCGCTCTCTCTCTCTCTCTCTCTCTCCTCCTTTCTCTCTCACACACACACACACACACACACACACACACACACACACATGTGCATGTCTTGTTTTAGGCTCTTCCTCTATAACTTGGGATGCTGAGTTACACTGCCTCAGAAACACCACCTGAAGTCCCCACCAGAGTCCTGGCAATGGGACGCTGGCTGGCAAGTACTTCAGGGAATGTGAGCCAAACAGTAGAGTCAATGGCTATCTTTCAGGAGACTGGGGAATCACACCCATTACCTTGGAACACCGACTAGAGGTTGGCAGCACTCACCCTGAGTTCAGAGTGGCCAATCAAGACACTTAAAACAATACTGGCTGTCAAGATGAACTTGTCTGCTGTATACCTGCAGGGGCATTAGTTATGAGGGGGCCGGTGGCATCAGCCGTCACACTGGGTACATCTCCAGGACCCAGGAAAAAGTTGCAGAGCCACCACAAACTACATTTGACAGTTTCTTTAAATTAGCTCATCTCACCCTCAATCTAATTTCTTTATTTTAGACTCCCAAACGGGTAGTCTTAGAAAGAAACCCACTAATTCTGAAAAAGGGACGTGATGTTACAAAAATTTCATCCCATTTCCTATTTGAAAATCAGCTCCTAGGTCACACAGGGGAGGTTCTGTATCCTGATGAAGGGAAATGTGTTGCAACTCAGCTTACCCGGCAATCATTGTTTTGAGAACTAACAGTGGGGCTTGTTTGTGCAGGAACTTTCCATATCGTCATTCTAAAGTCCTCAGAGCTGCTCCACAGAGCTCACACAAAACCAGTTTCTCCCCAGCGATGCACTAGGTGGCCAGGGGTAAGCTGAGATAAGGTAGCATTTGCCATATGGTACAAAATGAGAACATAGGCGACAGATAAATGGGAACAAGCCGTCTCATGCCTGCTGTGCTGGTGTAGGAGTGTGGCCTGGGCCCCAGTCCGTGGGAGACCCTGGCAGGCACCCTCCGCCCGCCCGCCCCAGGGCACTCACACTCTCCCTCTTGTACACCATGCCGATGCAGTTGAATGTGTTCCTGTAGCCAACACCAGCCTGCAGGCAAGTCTGTGGGAAAAGGCAAGGGCAGAGACACACTCTGAGATAGGTCACAAGCCCCCAAAGATGTCCAAAGGGAGAGGCCCTGCAGCAAGCGACCCAGCCCGGGAGGAAGGCCAGGCTCAGTCCAGGCCAGCCTGGTGCCACACGCTCTTCTGGGACACGTGTTCTGATATCCACCCAGCCACCTCCACAGAACAGAGCCTGCTTTGAGTCGGAGAATGACGCAGATGAGTTAGCTGTGGATTTAGGAGGCCTGCCTCTTAAGTACAAAAAGCAAACAAACAACAACAAAACCATCAGTCCTTGACTCTACCCTACCTTCTGCTGTCCATCACTCCACCCTTCTAAATGTCTTTAGGGACACCTGCTCATTTTCCCATATCTCTAGTCTTTGCTCCTTTCTCACTGGGACAAGGCCTTGGCCCTAGAGTGTCCCTGTCACCTCCAGCCCTTCCCTACACCACAGCCATGCTGATTTTTCTCAAGATAACTTCAATCATGTCACTCTGTTTAAAACTCTCCAGGGCCCCCTATCAAATGCTACCTATGCTCAGGATTGGCCTCCCTGTACCCTGCTCTCCACTCGGCTCCAAGCCTTCCCAGATCTAGCCTGGTTGAGAGCCTGTATTCGCCCCACAATCCATCCAATTTCTGCCTAGCCCTTGGATGCATCTGAAGATGAGGCAGACGGAGCCTTGTTCCAGGGTCCTCAGCACTGAGCCCTGAGCGTATTATGTGACAGGCACACAGATGGTACTCCTGTCCCCCTTGCACTGGCGTAGCAGCCTGGATCCTGTCACAGGAAGGGGTTTTCCAAGATGCAGAGTGGAGCGGGAGGAAGAGAGTGCTAGCTTTTTTCAGTGTGTGTTGAGGTGGCAGAAGGCTTGCCTATGAAGGCAGCAGGGTAGCTCACTTCCCTAATGGCATGAATCCAGTGGATCGTGTCCTTAGAAAGGAGACAACTCTTTGGCAAGACACACAGGCCATGTGAAGGCAGAGGCAGAGTTGCTGGAGAGGTGAAGCCATGACAGCACAGGCCAGGAGGCAGCACGGGGCAGAACCCCCTGAGGTCTCCAGAAGGGCCCAACACCTTGGTTTTACTTTCTGCTTCCTGACTGCAAGAGAATCAATTTCTGGGGTTTTGTTGTTGTTGTTTTTTTTTTTTTAAGATTTGTTTATTTTTACTTATGCGTGTGGGCGTTTTGCCTGCGTGTACATCTGTGAACCATGCGAGAGCAGTCACTGTGGAGGCCAGAAGAGGACATGAGTTCCCCCTGGAACTCAAGTTTGGAACTCATAGCAATAATTTGTTATGAGTTTGCTTTTATCTGGTCAACTAGAGAAACAGTGGCACAATTCCTTGCTGTGACACAGAGGAACACACTCAGTGAGCACATGGCCAGTCCCCTGGGGAAGCCACTGGGGAGAAGGTCGACTGAGGAATCTCCATATTGCCCCCAAAGAGAAATGAATGGATATTGTTTACACTGGGGGTCTTTAAAAACATCATCTGAATTTGTTTAAAATGCTGTGGAATCTGGGGAGAAGATTAATTTACACTGATATTAAAGTGACAGCCCCAAGTTGAGAGTGCCCACTGCGTATCAGAACAACATTCCCATAGTTATCCTGCAAGATGGAGTAAATGAAACCCTGCTTAACAGGCTACGCAAGTAGGAACTGCCCAAATCAGGGTTTAGACCTGTGGCCCGTGAAGGTCCACAGCCCATGATTTCTGGCTTGAATTGTGCCTGCCAATAGACCCCCTGGTGCTGATTGCCAGAGGAGCCTGCTGTGGAGTAGACTGGGAAGGAAACGGGTGAGTGGGAGCAAGAGGGTAGCAGGAGCAGCCGTGCCCTCCTGACAAAAGTGAGGATGACAGCTGAGCCCCGCCCTGGAGACATGTACAGCAGCCATAGAGTAAGCCTGGTCCTGACCTGGGGGGGTAGTCATTGTCGAATGCAGAGGAAGACAGAGAGAAAAGAAGATTGCAAACACCTGTCGGGCTTCAGGGTTTCCTCTGTGCATAGTTCAGGCAGTTTTAGGAATGGCTGGAGAGCTATTGGTGGCTGTTTCTGGGGCATGGCTGGGTCCTGCTCACCATGGATGGGTCTCGTGTGGGACAGCTGGGACTCAGACTGTCCTTTTGTGGCATCTCATTCCTTCCTTCCTGTTTCTCATGGTCTGACCTGAGACAAGCTCCCTACTCCTTTGGGGTACCTGTGACTATCAGGATGACTGTCTGACTCCAGAGTCTTTTCAAATTATTCCAACCTGACAGCCAAGGCCCTAAGGACTGAGTGCTGACCTGCCTAGATTTGAGTCCACAGTTGTAACACAGATCCACACACATCAGCAAAACTGCTCTTGCTGGTCTTTGCCAAGCATGGTCTCTACCCAGGGTCCCTACCTCAGCACCCACTCCCATGCTGTTCCCTCTGCCTGGCAGATGTTTTCCAGTGAAAACCCAGTCTCACACATCAAGCTCAGACCCCATTTCACATCTGAAACCCTTCCTAATCGTTCAGCTCCACAGGTACTTGGAGGAGGACAGTCACCATCCCCAGGTACTTGGAGGAGGACAGTCACCATCCCCAGGTACTTGGAGGAGGACAGTCACCATCCCCAGGTACTTGGAGGAGGACAGTCACCATCCCCAGGTACTTGGAGGAGGACAGTCATCAGTGCCCCAGCTCCTTCCTCACCAACTCACAATATCCTGCAGGCAGACAGGGGACAATGAAGGAAATAAAGCAAGCCTCCTGACATCACATCACCAGGTCAGCAGAGGGCCTGCCTTGGCCTGGGGAGTCCCCGGAGATCAGAGAGAGGCACAGTCCCGGGGCCAGGCCCCCTTCAGGTACCTTCCCAAGAGGCCATGAAAACATGGCTACCATACCTTGACTGTATCCAGAGGGTGGCCAACGATGACACTGGCTGCACCTGTAGGTCAAAGATCAACATCTGGTCACCCAAACCCTGGACTGCTGGGTTGTTCCTGCCACCCCCCAGATGAGGTCAGAGGGTAGAAGCATGTTAGCCATTGGTTACTAGAGAGGTCCTTCAAGGCACGAGGCCTGGTCCAGCTGCTGAGGAAGGCAGAGAGAGCAGACTCTGGGCCTCAGAGACAACTGGATATCCATGTGCCGGGGAGTGCAGTTAGACCCTGCCTCTCACACTACATACAAAAATTTATCCAAAATAGACCAAAGGGCTAATTGGGGGCAAATATATATATTATATTTGGGTTTTGTAACACATTTGTAGTTACAATAAAGAAAGCACAAACAAACAACAAAAGAAAAATAATAGGTGAACTAGACATCATGATAGATACTCTCCCGAAGTGAAGGCAGATGGCTTAAACTTTGCAGATAGTGTTTACAAATCATCTGTCTGTTAAGGGTCTCGGACCCAGAATACACAGAGAGCTCTTACACCTACAACATGTTTAAGTGACCATAATGGACATCTCTCAAGAAGATATGTCAACGGCCAACAGTACATGAACATATATACTCAACGTCATTGGTCACTAGGGAAATGTAAACCAAAATAATGAAATTTCACATCCACTAGGATGGCTGCAATTTCTAACAAAGGAAAACAAATAAGTGTTGACAAAGATACAAAGAAATTGGATTTTTGTTTGTTTTTTCAAGATAGCCTTGGCTGTCCTGGAACTCACTCTGTAGACCAGGCTGGCCTCAAACTCACAGAGATCCGCTTGTCCCTATCGCCCAAGTGGTGGTATTAAATGTGTGCACCACCATCACCTGACTAAGAAGTTAGAATTCATGTCTGTATGTGCAGTGCATGTATGCAGTGCCCATGGAGGCCAGAAGAGGCTGTCTGAGTCCCTGACACTGCACAGACGCACGGGTGGTTATGAGCATATGCATGCTTGAAACTGCACTGGAAGAGCAGTGCGGACGCTTTGTAAGGAGCCGTTACAAGCTAGTGTGCATGCGTACTAGGTAACTTTGTAACTTTCCAGCCCTTGGTCTCTGCCTCTCCCGTGACGTCATATGGTCCGATGAGCTGCAGCCAGTCAGGGGGTGACAGTCCGAGGCGGTGGTTGCCAGCCTATATAAGGGATGGGTTTTTGGGAGTTCGGGGTCTCCGCTCTGTAAGCTTATGCTCTCCCTCTCAAGACGCATTAAAGCTTTACTGCAGAAGGATCCTGAGGAGTTTTTGCTGGCGAGATGGTAGCGCGGGACACGCTTCACTTCTGAGCTGTCTCTCCAGCCCTGAGAACTCTGTATGGTGGTGGTGGTAATGTGGATCAGTGTCGCTGCTGTAGAAAACCGATCATTCCTCCAAAAAGTTAAACACAGAACTACTATATGACTCAGCATTTCCGATCCTAGATATATCCCTAAGACTTGAAAGCAAGAACTCAAACAAGAACAAGCACACCATGGTCACTACAGCATTTATCACAGGGTACCAAGGGTGGGAACACACAATGTTCACCAAGTGACATTCAATGAATAAATGTGGCATATGATGATGGATTGTTATTTAGCCATAAGTAGTACTGTGTAGCCATTTCCTCCTGATGGAAACATTCCACCCTGAAAGAACGAGTCTAGAGACTCAGGAAGTAAAACTCATCACAAGTCTCAGAACCTCCTGAAACTTACAAGATTTACAAGGTCCTCTTCCTGAAGTTATGTAACAGTAGGGCTGCTGGAGAGAGGAGATTCTGTCCAGCTACACTGAGGCCGGGTGTGCAGCAGCTTTTAGGAGCTGTCAGTCATGCTGGGGTGGGCTTCTCAGTGCTGCAGTTGCCCCTGAGCCACCCATGCTCCTGTAACTAACCCTTTGCCTATACTCCTGAAAGAAACTCTAGTAAACTCATGGACCTGTTAATCTAGACTTTGATGGAATTATTTCTTTGGTCTGTCATCAATGCTCTATCTGGGATGAACAGCTACACTTGTTCATATCTCCCCAGGTAAAGTCACAAAACAGGAATGGAGTACTGACCCCTGCTGCAATGTGGGCCAACCTTATAAAACATATTGTTCTAAGCAAGGGAGGCCAGATACAAAAGGCAAACATGCTATACAACTTTATTTAAATGAATCATTGAGAATAGGCAAAGCCATAAAGACAGAAAACAGATTAATGGGTAATGGGTTCTAGGGCTGTGGGGAGAGAAATTAGGAGTGACAATTGAGTGTATAAAAAGGAGGAGGGGTGGGGGAAGGGGAGAGAGAGAGAGAGAGAGAGAGAGAGAGAGAGAGAGAGAGATGAGAGAGAGAGAGAGAGAGAGCACCTGGCTACACACATACTTGTGCAAGGCTGTCTCAAAGTCACCTAGATGGAGAAGGCTTTGTAATCCCTAGCACCTGACATTCACACAGGGTTTGTTTTCCCAGGACAAATTCCTCCACCATGTTGATGAAAAGAGCAACACCTCTGCCAGAGGTGGCTCAACAAGCCAGACAACAGGGACATTTGTTGCCTGGTCTAGAACCTCCTGTCTTCTTCACCCTCCACTCTCCCCTGAACTGAGTGAGCATCGCGGAGTTGAACAGCAGCCAAAGCCTCGCTCTGCTGGACCAGCCCAGAGGTAGGAGCTCAGCTCCCCAGGTGCCACTGTCTCCCTCAAAGTGAGGCAGACAATCTCAGGTCCAGAGCATCATCCCAGAGCCGTGGACAATCATCTCCATGGGTGCAAAGTAAAAAGTGGGGTGCTAGGGCAGCAGTCTGTGGGGCTTCAGACAAACGTGGAGGCACTGTGGTGAGATTTTGTGGCACAGCGTCATCTAGGAAGACAAGGCAGGTGACCGGGACCTCACACACAGCAAGCAGAGGGTGGGCTTGGGATTTACTCTGAAAGACCCCCGAAGAGGTACTTTCGTAGAGGGAGACCCACACCCAGGAATCAGCGAGGCCACGAACTGGATGCAAAAAACAAGAGGCTTTATTGGAGACGCGGGTACCCGGGGCGACTTAGCTTCTGTGTGGCTAAGTGCCCCGAGCCAAGGGAAAGGGGTCCTTATATAGGGAAAAAGGCGCAAGCTAGGAGCAGGGATTCTATTGGATGGTTCAAATGAGGCACAGAGCCATTCCAAATCAGCATATTCTCAAGGTCTGGTGTCTGGTACAACAGACTTGATTCCTCCCTCCGCGCCCAGGTGGCTGACCTTGGGACGGAGGTTCCCCATCGGGCGGGGGGGCGCGGGGGCGGGGGCGTCCTCTCCCCGCTCGGCCCCAGCCCCGGGG